AAAACGCCGCAGGGGTAACAGATGCCACTGTATATTTTATTTTACAGCACTTTTATATTTGGAAACATTGTACAAATACTGCACAAATACTGTAGTCTTCAAAAACATCCCACTCCCCTTTACTTATTGATTGAAATATACGCTTTCACAGGTGCTGCCACTGTCCTGACGTCACACAACTGCTTCTTTATGAAGTTGAGGGAAATGGATTTGCCCCAAGTCCACAAGTAGAAACTACGGCTTTGAGTGGTGTTTCATTCTACTTTTTCTAGCAAGTCACAAATTTTCAAGTACTGAGATGTCTGTGAAGCAGCATTTTACAGCCTCTTGAATCAAACTATGCTATATGGCCAAAAGTGTTTGGACACCCCCTCCTATTGGTGGTCTTCACTCTCTCAGCCAGCCCATTTCTACCAGGTACGCAAAATCAAAAACACATCCATGAAAATATTTGTAGTAAAATGGGTCGCTCAATCCAGTCGCCACATAAGAACACAGATATTATATGATTCTGCAAAACCTCAGATTTCCTGCATTGGCTATGAAGGTAAATCGTGAGGTGCAGAATCAGCCAATACGTTGGATATACCTGGGGATTCTGCGCTCCCACAGGATGTCTTCTTTCCAATAAATCAGTTTGTCAGATTTCTACTCTCCTAGATCTGCCAGGGTCAACTGTACATGCTGTTACTGTGAAGTGGAAATGTCTACGAGTAACAACAGCTTCAAAGTGATGAGCTGCACAAGCTCACGGAACGGAAAAAATCAATTGTCCTCAGTTGTAACACTTACTGAGTTCTAAACTGCCTCAGGAAGCAACATCTGGACAAGAGCTGTGCGTCAGGAGTTTCGTGGCATGGGCTTCCACATCCGAGCAGCGGTTCATGAGACTCAGAGCACCAATGCCAAGCGTGGGCAGCACTGATGGAAAGCTCACTCTGCTGTAGTGGAAATGTGGTGTCTGCAGTGATGAATCACGCTTCACTATCTGGCAGTCTGGGTTTGGTGGGAGAACACTACCTGCCTGAAGGCGAAGTTCCACTTGTAGAGTTTGGTGGAGATGCTTAGTTACAGTCCAAGGAAATCTCAAAACTACAGCATTCAATTATCAACCAACAAATCATTATTTATCACATGGAATTATACAACTCCAGTGACATGTGATCCCATCACCTACTTTAACTTGTGCGTTGTAATTTAGTCCCTTTTTGCATCCTCTGCTTTATGTTTTTGGAAGGTTTGGTAAGTTGTGGTTTCATTTTGTGGAATGATTTGACTGTCCACACATCCTGACCTCAGTAAGATGTGAGGGCATATGGTCACAGAAACTTGTGCTTGAACACAGACAGCTCTGCCCTGCAGCCACCTCTGAACGGTGTATATCAGTGATCCGCAGCAGGAACAGGACAGCATCTCACATTCCCACTGTCACACCAGTCCTTACTCACAGTAAAGCACACATCTTGAATGGCACTGTCAAGGATTTAACCAGGTTTCGGTGAATCAAAGATTATTAAAGTTCCTGGAAACGGATCCAGCAGGGAGGTAGTCCAGTTTATTTTCTAACGCTTGTACAATAGCAGGATGGTAGTTTAGCTGGTACCCATCTTTTTCTTGATGTTTACTGATGTTTAAATTTGAAAACCTCAACCTGGCTGGCAAGAGTCAGCGTGAGGAGAGTTTACAGACTGGTGAGTGACTCGCAGCTACACGCAACCACTGTCCAAAGCCAACCACAAAAAGCACCACCTACACTTGCAAAATTCAGACCCTAAATTTAGCACAGATTTACCCCAGAGAGCCGACTGGGAACACCCAATCTTCCAAATATGTGCCAGCAGTTTGTTCCTGTTTCAACATGACACAAAGTCAGGTCCATAAAGAAATGGGTTTTCCAGTTTGGTGTGAAGGAACTGACTGATCTGCAGAAAGACAAGACCTCAACACCTCCAACACCTTAAGGGTGAACTGGACTGTGAGCCACACCTGATCACCTGACATCAGTGTTAATCATCACTGATGTCTGATTGGGAGCAAATCCCTACAGCACTGTGCACCTACTTTAAGCTACGTAGTGCATGTCACATTAATCACAACACATTCAAACATTTAAGGATCTAAAGCATTATGTAATGATTTGAAAAACTTCATGTAATTCATGTAATTTAGTGGTAAATGGGTTAAAACATGCACTAGCTTTACAAAAGACCCATCTTAATTGCGCACTCCCATTCCAACGAGTACAGAACAGCTCAAGTCAACAGAAGTTAGAAGCACAAAAGGAGAAGGGCAGCACATATGAGGTGAACAGAAAGAAAAACTCTGTGAAGTTTGACTCTGCAGAGCTCGGGCAGCTGAGTCACTCCTGCCTCGGAGAGACAAATCAATGTGTTCTCTGCTACCGACTGACAACATGTTATTAAAATCAAATCAAATGCACACAGCAACAAAAAAAGCTCCCTGGCTGAGTAAACCCCCCCCCCCCCACCACCACCACCACCCCACCCCCCCTCATTCTCTGTGTACAGTTGTTTGAAAAGCAATTATGGAGCCTTTTCTTTTCTTTGCGGGCTGGAACACTGAGGCTCAGGGAACAAATTGGGGACTAATTTTGGAGCAGGTCTGCAGTGAAAAATAAGCTGAAAGGTGCAGATGTGTGAGAGGAAATGCTGCTCTGTGCTGAGAACTGAAATACTGAGCGTCAGAGTCACTATTGTGTTTCGATCTGTCATTTAGCCTACTGGATAGTTTACTGAAAATATTCATCTTTGTTCGTATTGAAGGTTGGCAGAGGAGGTCTTGAACTTGGGTCTTATTCTCCTGGTTCTGTCCATCGTTTCTATCAGTATTAAATATGTTTTACTCACAACAAGAAAAGACACTACACCAGTGGCCTGCACCACTGTGAGAATCTATACTTCTGCAGTGGTACGCACATTAAGCATGGCTTTATAGTGACAAATTTCAAACACAAATACTCGCAGCATTCACAGACAAACACTTGTCTTTATCTGGACACATTTTCCCCACAAATACAACATGCTAACGTTATTAGCACAAGCCTATGGCATTTTACATTGCAAAAATTAGCCTAGCCGCCAGCAGACATTTTCTCTGCTCATATGAAACCAGGGACAACAGCAGCATTTAATAAAGGCAACGTTACAAAATTCGGCTCCATAACAACTCACAAGATTCACCAAGACAACTATCTAAACTGAACACGTTTTTGCCACAATGTACAACATGCTAAAGTTATTAGCATTAGCCTATGACATTTTATATTGCATAAATTAGCATAGCGGCTAGCGGAGTTCTCCTCTACCCATATGAAGCCAGGAACAAACACGACATTTAACAAAGGTAATGTCACAAAATTTGGCTCCATTAAAACTCACAAGATTCACCAAGACAACTGTATTATACTAGACAGATACAACAAACTACTAGCCTGGAAATCCAGACCCAAATCTAGAGAGATTTAGGGTCTGGCTATGAGTAATGCAAATGGCCCAACTCGAGGGGCGGCACCAAGCATGCATTTGTAAATATCACTGCACACAATTGGATAACACTACGACCAATCAGAACAATACACGGGGTGACGTATCCAGAGCTTAGCTACCAGCGGAGCTAACTGGTAGATTAGACTCTTGCCGTATCCGGTTGGCAAAACAGCAAAAACATCCTTCTTGCAAAGGAAAGATTTGAGTGCCGTCTTCTGTTCCTCTTTTAGAGAAAAAGCCAAGTCTAACTCGTTCATTGTAGCGGCCAAAGCCGTTTCAAACAGCTGGTGTTCATCCGTAGCCATCTTGCAATGTTTACTGACTGATTCCGGACTTCGTTGTCACAGCGCTGTCGTCATCTGTTTAGCTCGCCTCTGGCCCGCCTATATCAGATACACAGATGTGATTGGTGCAGCTCGGCTCCAATGGCATAGGTAATGAGCATCATTACTGATTGCCAGAGTGACTGCTGAGCAAATTCAAATTGTGCTCTCGCGAGAACTCTGGATTTCCAGGGTAACAAACTAACATCTCCTCCACTCATATGAAGCCAGAAACAACAGCAACATTTAACAAAGGTAATGTTACGATATTAGACTCCACTACAACTCACAAGGTTCACGGACAAAACAACTGTCTTACGCCACACACATTTTCCCCACAATATTCAACATGCTAATGTTATTAGCATACCCCTATGACATTTTGCATTGCATAAATTAGTGTGGTGACTCGCTGACTTTCCTGTACTCAAACAAAGCCAGGATAAATCACACACAAGATTCAAAATGCTATTTTGCAGAGGCTTTATTGTCTTCACTATTTATTGTTTCTTATCTGTGAAATAAAAGTAAATAAAAGCTTCATTTCCACTGAGGGAAATGGTTTCAGCTCACAAAAATAAACAGGGGGATGTTTAGTTACATTTCCAGGGAGGTGCGCGTTAGGCTACGGCGGAGGGTACGCATCTATGCAGAGTGTCAGTTTGACGCAGAAATATAAAACCCACTTTATTTTGCCTTCCAAACTAGTTTAAGGTGAAAATGAAATGTGGCACTTCAAATGAGTTTAGACAGATAATCTCTCACAGGAAACAGTCGGCTGTACTCACTCATTTTGTTTCTCTTTGTCAAAATGAAATTATCGTCACATTGTAATGCTGTCAGAGATACTTCTGAAGAAAAAAATCCCCCTTGGTGTGTTCAGGTGTTAGTTGAGTTTTGAGATTCAGCTCCTAAAAAGCATCACCATCATAAGCTGCAGTATCGTGTCCTCAAAACGTGAAGATAAACATTTAAAAACAATATCATGTTTGTTGGCTGTTCATTGACAATACTGTGACAAAAACAATCTAAAATAAATAAAAAATACAAAAACAATATAAAATGAAGCAAACAAATATTCATGTGATGTGTGCATGTTTCATGGCTGTCTGTGAACCTGAACAGACTGTCGCTGCGAGGAAAGACAAAACAGTGTGACTGTTGTGCAGACCTCGTTGTCCCGGTCCTTCTCCAGGAAGTGGCGGGCTACGTGGCTGGGCAGGATGTTCCTCAGCATGTTCTCGTTGTGTTCTCGCAGCTCCTTCATCTCGTTGATCTCCTCTTTGGCCTGGACACGCCACAGGAAGTCAAGCCGGGCCGTGTACTCCAGCTAAAGATGGAAGACAAAAAAAGTTTGTGAAGCGTCTCTGCCGTAACTGCTCTCCACGTTATCATCACCTCTTCCGAGCCTCAGTCTTTTTGCAGGTAAATTTTCTTTTGTTAAGGCAGTTTAAGTTTGGCCTCACTGAGCAAAAGTCTCGCAATAATCTTTGAGCATATTGTAATTCAAGTGAACTGAGAGAAAACAGACAACGGCATCAGTTTTTAATGCCACCGGAAAACCCATCCACCGGAGGGATGGTGGATGGGTCCAATATACATCAGACTTCTACCCAGGAGCCCAGTGTTCGCTTGCCGTATGAATGTTGAGCCAAATCACATTTTTTTCTAAACTATACCACATGTTTTTGTTGCACAAAGAAATGGACAATGATGTTGGAAGTTTATTTTGAAAAGACTGTATCTAATGAGCAGAAACTACATTTCCTGTGAAAAGGGAAGTGTATTCTGAGAAGACACAAAGGAGTAAATTGACATGGCATCCCAGAATGTCAATAAAAGACACACCTAAGAGACCTAGTGCATCATATCTAGACGTCAAAATCCACTCCAATCCATGTGTGACAAGTTAGGAGTGAAAATATAGTATATATATATATATATATGTATATATACAATAGACCACCTCACCAAGTGGTCCCAAGTGGAGACTTCTAGCCAGTGGCTGCAGCAAATCGAGTCCAGCCAGCGCAAACCCCAGCCCTGGGGGACCAGAGAGTCCCGACTCACTGTGAAATCAGCAAACTTTCTGTTGCTGTCCATACAAAGGTTAGACCCGGTGCTGAGAGTTCATCATACTGTATGTAAGAAAATAAAGATACTCACACTGACTCTGCTATGACTACAGATTACTTGTCTCAGAAACAAAAACCTGGTCAACATTATTTCCCATTTTCCCCAAAGATCTGATGCTACCTCTCAGGACCTGAAAATCCATACTCCTCCTTTCTTCACATCCTTTGTCAGACCTTCCAGCCATGCCGAACACTTTATGAATAATTGCTTGAAAATGTAACCAGAGATGAGTGGAAAGTCTGTTGTTGAGATGATGGAAAGGCTGAGCCGCCACTCTGGAATTAACGGCTAAATTTAAAAATCCGTTAAAGGTTGGATCAATTATGGAACGCAAACGAGTGCGATCAATTTGAAGTGCAGCAAAAGGATTCTATTATGCAACATAAATTGCTTTTCTGAATGCACAATTAATACAAAGTCATTTGAATACATTAGAGCCAAACAAAAGTCAGGACCATTTAGTCTGCACTTGCAGGAGAGAGGAGGGGGAAAAAATCCTGATATTGAAAATTAATTTTGAGGGCAGGCAGATAAGCCTGTGAGGATCTGAGCATCTCTCTCTGGCGACTGGCGGAAACAGTTTTGTGATTAATCTTGGTATCAATTAGTCCCTTAATCATATGAGTGAATACGAAAACTTCAATCTCATTTTCTGTTTTTCTAATTAAGAATTCAAAGCCTGCAGGGCTGGTGTGGCGGCGGGATAATGAGATGGTCGCCAGTGAAATAACGGGTTGTTCAGGCGTTTACCAACATGACCTCTGCAGCGCACGCACACACAGACGTTTAAAACAGCCTCTATTAACCCGAGAGAGAAGTATAAACAAAAATCACTAATAAAGCTTTAACTCAGCATTAGAGCTGCTGTCATCTCTCACAATGTGTAATCAGGTTTACTGCAGAGCAATGATCAGCTGCACCGTCATATGCTCTGCTCTGACAGCCCTTCACCCAGCGAGGGTTAAAATATATAAGGATATTAAACTCAGAGCACATTTAGACACGAGCCTGGACACAGTGTTTTTATTTGGACAAATGTGGAGAGCAAATAGGAATTTAAAATTTTTGGAGACTTCCTTTTTCTTCACTAAATTTCTAAGGGAATTTTTTTTTAATTTTTGCGAGACTTCATTTATCTGACAGCTGGGCTTACTGCTTCCATTTTAAATTTAGAGCTTCCATTTTTGACCAAAAATCATTTTAGAAGTCTGCCTGGAGCAGGGAAACATATTTGAACCTTATGGTAACACTGCACATTAGGTCTCAGTTAGCCTATCGACATTGAAAAAGGTCTAAATGAGCATTCAGAAATATGTTTTACCACAAGATGGCTCTTCTGCAGTGGGATCTCTTACTATATAATGACGAAAACTCTGTCTGTGTGTCTGTGTCACGTTTTTCTCCTCACTGACTTGGTCAATCCATGTGAAATTTGGCACAGTGGTAGAGGGTCATGGGAGGATGCCAATGAAGCAATATTACATCAATTGGCCAAAGGGGGGCGCTATAGCAACCCATTGAAATGTCAAACTTTGAATGGGCATATCTCATGCCCCGTATGTCGTAGAGACATAGGAGGAACACATTTGCCTCAAGAACCCATAACTTCCGCTTATATATAGATTTTTTTTGCCATTTTGAATTTTTTGAAAAACACTTCAAATGGATCTCTTCCTAGGAAGTTTGAGCGATCTGCATGAAACTGGGTGAACATAATCTAGGGACCAATATCTAAAGTTCCCTCTTGGCAAAAGTTGGAAAACTTACTAAAACTGAGCTTCTATAAGGCAATGAATATTGCGGAGGGCGTGGCTCATCACATAAAGGTTCAGGCTTAGAGATAGAGTAAGTAGCACAGACATTCGGACAGAGCTCGGAGTAGAGCTGCTGCTCCTTTGCGTCAGGGGTCAGTTGAGGTGGTACAAGCATCTGATCTGGATCCTCTGGGGCGCCTCCCATTAGAGGTGTTGCAGGCATATCCAACTGGTATCTCATCTGGCCTGAGAACGTCTTGGAGTCCCCCAGGAGGAGCTGGAAAGCACTGCTGGGGAGAGGGATGTCTGGGATGCTTTGCTCAGCCTGCTGTCCCTGTGACCCGACTGGAGATAAGTATGATGACTTGTTATTTTATTTCCTCTGTGGCATTACTTCTTCATTATAACTTGTGCCATTCGGTAAGCTTGACTAATCTACTGGTCTTAAAATGTTTCAGAAGAAAAGCAGGGTGTCAAAAAAAAAAAAAAAAAAAAAAAAATCCTAATGATTTCAAAATAAGAGCCTTGTCTGCAGCCTTGTAATGAAATGCTTCATGTTCACTGTGCTTGATAATGTAATTACTGCTCTGACAGGAAGCAGCGTTCATGAAGAACAACCTCATCTGGCATCAGTGCTCTGCTGCCTTTAGTTTATTATGTACAAGGAGGACTGTGTTCGGCTTTTAAAGAAACAAAAATCAATATCATACGGCAGAATGCACATAAAAGTGTCAAGAAATGGCTTAACTCAATACCTCATCTTGTATTACCTACAGTTAAATGTACAATAATACAGTTAAAGAGAGAAGTAGTCCTTCCTGTGTGCTTCAGATCCTTCTATAATCATCTATCAGTGTGTTTCTTTGTATCTCTGATCAAAGATTTTTCAGGCTCACATAATAAGAAGCAGCTCCAACATAATATTAAGGGAAAATGTGTGCAAATGTTGCTTTGTGGGTTATTGTGAATACATCATTCACAACACTTTAACACAGTTAACAAGCACTGAACGAGAGCTTCAATGAGATTCTTGTAATGAAAAATGCAGAGAAGAAGAATAGTCTCCTCCATCTTTCTGCTCTAATAGGCTCCTCTTCACAACACAATAAAATCACAAAAATGTCTCCTCTGAAAGGAGCACTAATGTTTTCACACCCTCTGCATTTTCTCAACAATAGATGATGGTGCTGTGAGTTTGCAGCTACAAAGGGTTGGAAAGCCCTCTTCTTGTTCCCTGTAATCCAAGTGATGAGGCTGTTTCATTATTCCACTGTGTTGTTTGATTATACAGTACATCACCTCTGCTTTACTCCATCAATACATGTTTCTGTTGGACCTTTGCTCCAGGCAGCACACTGACTCCTCTCTCTGAGATTTGTGATCACTGTTTGAGTCAATTACAGGAGGCTGTAGTTCACTGCAGTACGAGGAGGAGTGGCTGTGGTCCACTTTATTTTGATCCAACAGATCAATACTCAATCAGATCTTATTTACTGATGTTCCTCTCTAAACATCTGCGATATCAGTCCCATCAAGGCCTAAATTTGTTTCTTCTGGCTTCAGGTATTGATGAGCCATAAAGAAATCAAAGCCTTAAAAGGATAGTTCAGTTTTTAAACAATGTTGTATGAGGTACTTATCTTACTATATAATGACGAAAACTCTGTCTGTGTGTGTGTGTTCCACGTTTTTCTCCTCACTGACTTGGTCAATCCATGTGAAATTTGGCACAGTGGTAGAGGGTCATGGGAGGATGCCAATGATGCAATATTACATCAATTGGCCAAAGGGGGGCGCTATAGCAACCCATTGAAATGTCAAACTTTGAATGGGCATATCTCATGCCCCGTATGTCGTAGAGACATAGGAGGAACACATTTGCCTCAAGAACCCATAACTTCCGCTTATATATAGATTTTTTTTGCCATTTTGAATTTTTTGAAAAACACTTCAAATGGATCTCTTCCTAGGAAGTTTGAGCGATCTGCATGAAACTGGGTGAACATAATCTAGGGACCAATATCTAAAGTTCCCTCTTGGCAAAAGTTGGAAAACTTACTAAAACTGAGCTTCTATAAGGCAATGAATATTGCGGAGGGCGTGGCTCATCACATAAAGGTGTATAACATCTCAAGGGTTTCACCCATCACCACGCAACTTTGTAGGCATATGACCACACATAATCTGAGGGGACCCCTCCATTATTGAGCCCATCAAACAAAATGGGGGCGCTAGAGAGCTCATTTCTTATCTAGGCCTAACCGCCATATGGATTTTTACTAAACTTGGTAGATATGTAGAACAGGACGCCTCAAGGTGACTGGAGAAATTTAACTCTAATTGGCAACTGGGTGGCGCTATAACAACAGAAAAATGCTTCAAAATGGCTAAAATGTGACCGATCGCTGTGGCTCCCCCTGTGGACCAATGTTGGTGTTGTTTTCTAATGTTTGGTATGACTAAGTCATGGTATGGTATGCTGTACATAATCACTGAAACTGTCAGTGTGTCATTCTGTCAGTCAGTCATTCTGTCTGTCCCACGTTTTTCTACTCACTGACGTGGTCAATCTATGTGAAACTGCACATAGGCATTGAGGACTGGCATAGGTAGAAGGTGACAAAGCTACCAATGGCTATGGACTAGTCCATAGTAAGCGTGTTACCTACACCAGATATCCAAGTCGGCATGCCGACATGGAAGTTAGGCAATGTGCTGCTGTGGATGGAGGGTCAGCAATGAAACATATTTTAGCCACTTAAAAAAATATTTCACAGATTAAGTATTCGATATATTCAGAGAATTTTCACTGCTTCACCTTTTCCACATCTATGCTCTTTTCAAAGAGGTAAACTGTACTGCACTGTGTGCAACACACACAACATCGACTGACACACTTTTCTACCACAAAAGACACCTGGAGAATGACTGAAATGGGTAGAGACAGTCACTATGACAGGGGCATCCAGATCTATTGCAACTGCTGATAGAACGTAGTGGTAACTTTAGTGTGGTATTAATCACAAATTCAGAACAGTGCAATTTTATTGTCACTGCAACAAGTTGCCTTTATAATTAATGAATTACACAAAACTAAAATAACCACCTCGCAGTTGTATGCCTCCATGAAACAGATCAAGATCTAAATACAGTTTATATCCATGTCTGTGAAAACATGTATGCTTCACACACATCTTCCCCCTGACAGCACAGAAGATCTATACAACCAGCACAGTTTCAGATGGACACCCAAGATTAGAGTCACCAGTTCAAAATCTGGTCAAATGTCTCCCTTCTGTTCCTCAGATATGACGCAGAGTAATGGCCAGAAAAGTGTTTTATGCAGAACATTATGATGTCACCATGAAGTTAACCTTTGACCTTTTGGATCTATAATGTCACCACTTGTGAAGTACTGTCATAATTAGCATGTACATTTTTGAGTTATGGCAAAAAAAATATGTTTCGTGAGGTCACAGTGACTCAAATTCTAATCAGTTCATTGTTGAGTCCAAGTGGACGTTTGTGCCAAATTGGAGGAAATTCCCTCAAGGCCTTCTTGAGATATCACATTCATGTGAATAAGACAGATGCAAGGTCACAGTTTATCCAAGTGAAATTGGTGCCAAATTTTAACAAAGTCCCTCAAGGGGTCCTTAAAATATCACAGTAATGAAAATTGGACAGACAGACAACCCAAAAACATAACGCCATCAGCCAAAGCTGTCTCCAGCCTGGAGGCATAAAAACTGTTTTTGCAATTTTGTTGCAAAACAGCTCGGAAACATTTCAGCATACGTTGTAATTTATAAGAAAAGCTGCCATAAATCAGCATTTAAGGCAGCAACAATGCACCAAAGGGACTGACGATGATACATTCAACTGAGAAATGTCAAAAGGTTGAAGCAATCCAGTCTCATGTTTTAAGTTGCCTCTGACATTTAAAATATATAACCCTGATCACCTCTGTAGAGCTGTTTTAAAATGCAAATTATTATACGATTGTCACATAAACATTCAGTCAGTATGTTGGGTGATATGGCATGCAAATGATGTGTAAATGGACATATATTTTAGGATATAGAGTTGTAACACAACAGCTGCTGTGAGCCTGAGCATGAGAGATAAAACCCTAAAGTGCTTTTCTCTCACCCAGTATCGATTTTCCCCAAAGATAATTTAGAATATTTTGGAGAAAATGACAGCGCTCACATTGTGATTTAACCTGGCACATCAAACCATTAACACCACACTACAAAGAAAGCTGGATCACATTTTGCACCCTGGACCTCCCTGCAGAGAGTAAACACTCTCTTTTATATGCACTCTTTTCTCTTGGCCTGATGCATCGCACACAAACAGCTTTTCAGAGCTGTGGGTGTTACACGCCTCGTGCTGCGAGCTGTCATTGTCTCTACTTTGACAAACAAGTGGCAGAATTGACCCTGGGAAAATCAATATGCCGCTGGATGACTTCAAATGCAGCTGCTTTCTACTTCCACGGGGCGACAAAGGACCCTCAATTACAGCGGGCTCCCCTCCATCTCTGACCGACACCGAGCTGCTGAACTGCATGATCAAAGGTTGCCATAGAGAGAGCATGAAAGCAGCGTGGCGATACCAGTTTCCATCAGGCTGCTGACTCCGACCGCATCTTTAGAAAAATGGCTCGTATTATGTGTCAGATGTTTTAACTAAGTGGTTTGTTTCTGTTTTTCTATGTGTCTGAAGATGCATCACTCAGGTCAGAGATTACACAGCAGTAACACCTGACAGGATGCTTTTTCTCTGGTGTTATGAATATAATGCTTCTGTTTGGCATTAAAGGAGCTGCTGTCTACCTGCATCCTCTCATCATATTGTGCATATGTTTACCAGCAGTCTAACCAAAGGCTGTATTTTCTTCTGTTTTATTCCTTTACTCTACAACCTCTCAGACTTGGTGTAGAGCCCCTTGGAGAGATGTTTCCAAATCTCCACACTGGGAGCTGTCGTCATAGTGACACTGTATTTCAGCTTAGAGACACTTTTGGTTTCATTTGTTTTAAGATATCTAAGTTTTTGCCCAACGGTTCATAAGATATCCTACGAATTACAACTTTAACTTGTCAAATACTGCTGCTTTGTCAGTGATTTGGTATCAGAGAGCAACACAGAGAGGCATCCTTTGCAACGGTATGATACACACAGGGCACGTCAGTTTTAGAGGCAGCAGACAACAACCCAAATTGGAGACTGATGTGTCAAAACAAGCTCCGACTTTCACCGGGGAGCACGCTGTTTGGTTCCCGAGTGAATTTTAAGCCAAACCATGACTATTGGTCTAAACCTAACCACTTGCTTTTGTTGCTTAAACTTAAGGAATTCAACCTGAAAATGAAGTGTTTGACCTGCGCTTTAAGTTTATTTTTAAGAAGACTGTATGCATGTACCGTCTGTGAATGTCCAAAAAGGTACCTAGGCATCATATTTTGACATGTATGTCCACAGACAAGGCAGCAGTATTTGACGAGTTGGGATGAGAAAATGTGGAAATGACCCCTCAAGAATCACGTAATGTCCTTAACGTAAAGTTACGGAGGTACGGTTTAGTCAAGTTGAGTTACTGAGGTTAGGTTCAGGGAAACACACGGTGATGGCGTACTTAAATCTGACTCAAAGTTCACACGCTTCCGAACAGTGGGCTCCTGGGGAAAGACCTGTGTTTTGTCATGTATCCACCACCCTAACCTGCAACCTTACTGGACCGCTTGGGGCCACTATTGTCTTTACTTCCATAAGCACACTGGTTATGCGATCACAGCCTTTCAAAATACATGGGTTATGCAGGAATTTTGCCTCAACACCTCATAGGAAAATGGACTAACATGCATGAGAACAACGTGTTTTGCCACCAGTTTCAGTGCGGCTGAATTTACACTGTGGTGCTCGAAGAATTGAAGAAATAACATTTTCTGGTGTGATCTTACCTGCTGCCCGTGGTAGAACACAGCGAGGAGGAACATAGCCATCAGGAGCAAAGACGTCTCTTTGGTCCCCAGGAAATTTCTATTGGTACAACAAGAGAGACAGTACAGCTGAAAGAGGGAGTTTGTTCATTTTCACCCTTTCTGTCACCTCATTGATTCAAAGTAGAGCCTGTTCAGCTAAGACAAGTATACGGTCATGTTCTATTTGTTTTGCTTCAGCTCTACATGTGACAACACAGTGTGTGACTTTCTGAAATTCAGTTAAGTACTCTGATGTATTTTCCTTTGATCTAATTTTACATGTTAACCAGTCCTCTTAAAATGCAACCTTTATTTACGACGTACTGCCTTACAAAGTACAATTACTGCCAGTTACAGTTACAGTTTACATCTATGTCTGTCCAAATTCATATGCAACCACGACAGTTGACAATGCTTCAAATATAGATGTTGCTGCAAAGAGGCTACAAATGTGGATGCTTCACCACAAAATCAAAAATTCATTCCCGAGTCCAAGTGAACATTTGTGCTCATTTGGAGGAAATTCCGTCGAGGCCTTCCTGAAATATCGTATTCACAAAAACGAGATGGACGCAAGGTCAAAGTGAACTTAACCTCTGACCACCACAACCTAGTCAGTTCATCTTTGAGTCTAAGTGGATGTTTGTGCTAATCTGAACAAACTCCCTGTTCTGGAGATACTGAGTTCTCAAGAATCATACGGACCATGTTACAGTGACCTTTGATCATCAAAATCTAATAATTTAATCCATGAGTTCAAGTGGACGTTTGTGCCAAATTGAAGGAAATTTCCTCAAGGCCTTCTCGAGACAAGAATGCGATAAAGGCAAGGTCACAGTGACCCATGACCACCAAAACCAAATCAATTCAACCTTAAGACCAAGTGGAACTTGCCAAATTTGAACAAATTCCGGTATTCTGGAGATATTACATTCAAGATAATGAGATGGAGCAGTCACCTGTCATAAGTCAACCACCTTTGACCACCAAAATCTAATCAGTTCATTTTGAAGTCCAAGTGGACGTGGGTGCCAAGTTGGAGGAAATTACCTTGAGGCCTCTTGAGATATCATATTTACATAAATAAGATGGATGTAAGGTCACAGTGATCTGAAACTTTGACAGCCAAAAACCTCTCCAGTTCATCCTTGAGTCCAAGTAAATGTTTGTGCCAAATCTGAATAAATTCCCGTAAGGCATTCTGAAGATACCTGGTTTACGAGAATCAGATAGACCAGGTCACAGTGACCTTGACCTTTTCCTGAGTCTAAGTGCATGTTTGTGCCAAATTTGAAGGAATTCCATCAAGGCTTGAGATGAGTTCAAGACTAAAGTCAAATCACAGCAGTATATTTATAAAACAAAAACTTATTCAACAACAACTGAGAGAAAGTGACAACAAAAAGTTGAAAGAAGGGTTTTTAAAGAAGACAGATTTTTCTCGCCTAATCTGCCTGTTCAGTTTGTTCCACACAGCAGGGGCCTGATTGAGAAAAAAGAAAACCCTCCTCCAAGACCTTTTGTTTTCAGCTCAGACTGTAGAAGGACCAGAAGTCCTGCAGGAGCTCACTGAGGATTACCAGAGCGATGTGCTGCTCCAAGTACAGGAGCCAGGAGGGGGTCAGCTCGGGTACAAGTTGCTGCTTCTCTTAAAATACTCTGATTTTTTAAAAGGACGTTCATTGAAACAGATTTTCATCCAAACTGTATGTCTCCTCATGCTCCAAAATGTGTTATAATTGCTGCTGAGAGAAGACACTGATCCCTGAAGTGAAGAGTGAAGAAAACACAAATTGGGCTGCTGAGGACACTCCAGTTGGTCCACAGTGCTGTTTTCGTGGCAACTCGAGTCTGGAACTTATTGCAGTGGAATCACACAGTTCTCTCCCTCTGAGGTCTTTTCATCATGACCTTCTCTCTCGTACTCCATAGGGCCTTAAAGAAATGAACCTGACTCCATCAGCTTACTGTGAAGCCACTTTTTCTTAACAGGTCTTTCATGCGTATATGCTCAGACTGCCTTCATACAATGTCACTGTAAAGGTCACTGTACTATCATTGGGAACACATGCAAGATGAGTTTTCTCACATTTGCAACCCTTATGTGCAGGAAAAAAGGTCAACGTGGCTTTCTGACGTGTGTTTGAATAGGAAGAGGTGAGGAAATGGCAGAGTAACGAGGAGATATTAATGTACCTGTCTTTACTTTAACATGAACTCTGCAAGCATTAAAGAGTTAGTTTCTATAAAACTTGTTCAGCAATGGCTATAAAATCTAATCAGATCATTGGGGGAACTGCCTGGTGCTAAAGTTTCTGTCCCAAGTAGAAAACAGTGGTAAGTTTCGGTCATGTTTTTTTTTTCTTGAGGTACTGTTCATGAAAAACAAAGTCTACAGGCAGAGAGATGGATTTCTGAAAATTTTCAGACGAACAAGTTGTAACTAGAATAACCGCCCTGCAGTTATATGCCTCTGTGCACTAGTCAAGCTTTGAAAACATGGATGTCTCACACCCACTGTCCCCCTGACAGCACAGAGGATCTATACAATCAGCACAGTTTCAAGGTGGACACCCAAGATAAGTGTCACCAATTCAGTATCTGACCAAAACTCAAACGTCTAATGATTATTATACATTTGTGTGAAGTTTTGTCATCATAAGTATATGAATTCTTAAGTTATGGCCAAAAATGAATTCTGTGAGGCCATATTTACCTTGACCTTTGCCCTTCGTCCACTAAATTCTAATCAGTTTATTGTTTAGTCCAAGTGGATGTGTTTGTGTCAAATTTAAAGAATTTTTTCAAGGTGTTCTTGAGATATCCTGTTCACAAGAATGAGGCAAATGTAAGGTCACACTGACCTTGACCTATGACCACCAAAATCCAATCAGTTCATTGTTAAGTCTAAGGGAAAGTTTGTGCCAAATTCCAATAAATTCCTTCAAGGTCTTCTTGAGACATTCTCAAGAATGAGATGGATGGAAGGCCACAGCAACGTTGACCTTTCACCCTTGACTGCTAAAATCTAATCACTTCATCATCGAGTCCAAGTGAATGTTTGTGCCAAACTTGAAGACATTCCTTCAAGGCACTTTGAGATATCACATTCATGAGGATGAGACAGACAAGGTCAAATTGACCTTGAACTTTGGCATATGACCACCAAAAATTCTGTTCATCATTGAGTCCAAGTGGAAGTTTGTGCCAAATTTTAAAAAATTCCCTTTTGGCGTTGTTGAGATATAGTGTTCACCTGGATGGGACACACATACGTACATATGCAGGGCTGGACGGACAACCTGAAAACATAATGTCTCCGGCCCCGGCTATCACCGGCACAGAGGGATAACAATGTACCACCAAATTTCATGAGAAGTCTCAGAGAAAATCTTGTATTGAGAAATGAGTGGAGTTTAACAGAAGCTTGATTCATTAGGCTGATACTGTTAACGAACACTCACTCTGTGTTGTGGTGGACGGTGTCGTAGCGAACAAACAGCGAGGTGTAGAAGGCTTCGGTCAGCAGCGAGTAGATGGCGATCATCACCAGCAGCACTGCCAACTTCAACACCGAGTTCAGCCGCAGGAACACCGCACACGTCACCATCGCCAGGACCCCCGTGAACACAAAATACTGGGGAAACAAAGACATGTACTTAACATCAGTGGGGCCATGATCCTTTACTTAAACAGGTTACAGGACATGCTGGTGTGAAATTTCACGGCTAAATTCTCTGAGACTTGGCAAAGCTGGTGCAGAGCCACAGAAGATGTTGAACGTTGATTAGTGTTAACCATGACTACTAAACTGACCTTTATGTGTAAATTTGAAGGAGTGTCCCCTTAAGGATGTAAAACATTACAATGAATATCTGAAATTCAACTGCTCCAAAGTTTGTGTGTCTAATCTAATATTCCAGTCTGGATTTGTCCCAGCTAAAAAAGAGTCAATAACTTCTTTTTATGGATCCAAAAACTGCTCTTATTTCTACAAACAAAAGCTCTTGTCCTGAACCTCGAGGGGGGAGAAGGTTGTAACATATACATGCAACGATATGTGATTCAACCCAGGCTTGCAGCTATAAAATGTTACTCCCTCTTTGAGTCCATCAATCAGCTGCATATTTTGTGAGCAAAGTAACATAATGGATGTTTTCTCCGTGACGTTCTGATGGCTTCATCAGTCGCCGTTGTCTGAGGCGAGACCTCCCTCTGGGTGTGAGCAGATGTCGTGGATGTTTAATTCATCATTTTGCCACTGTCGCTGAAGAGAAAAAAACACAACAGATGGACCTGACTGCAAAATTCAGACACCTCATTTAGTCGGTACCTCTGGGTAGAAGCAGATGTCTGGGATGGAGGCCGATTCGTTGTACGTCTGGTTCCTGAAGGTGCTGGACTTGTCGAAGTCGCACCACAGCTGCGAGAGACCAACAGGAGGATTATTGTTGTTGTACAGTATAAACCTGATGCAGGATCAGTGTGAAAATTCCCTTTTCATGCATTTTTTCATCCAGCCTTTAATGTTTCAAGGTGTTTGTGTAAGAAATTCACAGCTCACTGTGAGTGAACGGGGAGAGAGACGGATCTCTGCAGGAAGCTGCAACATTTTCATATTAATAAACAGTTGATATTTTACCAGAGTTAGGGCTGCACGGTTATGGCCAAAATGCTAATTATTTTTGATCAATATTGAGATCACGATTATTTATCATGACTATTTATTGATTTTAGACACAAAATATTTTCATTGCACTTTCACATTTAAATGAACTTTGACTTTCACTTCTATGTTTTGCTACTTTCCTGCTAATGTACAAAGTTGTGCATCAAAATAAGAAGGTCCTTCTTTTTACCCAAAATTAAATCAACAGAGCGCTGCCTTAACTTTCAAGTTTCAACTCTTTACATCAAATCAGAATTACAGCTGTGCGGTTGGATGCCTCCACCAAACAATTCAACCAACACATCCTCACGCCGACCTTGTCACATATCAATGTTTGGTCATGGACCTTCCATGTTGAGATACGACGGGAAAAGTACCCTGGGTGAGTTGATTGTTGGCGTTCTGGGATGCCATGCCAAGTTCTGCCTGTTACATGAACTGTCTGTTTTCAAAACACACTTCCGTTTTCACAGTAAATGTATAGTTTGCATACAGTCTCTTTCAAAATAAAAGCACTACGTCAGTGCAGCACCGCAAATTGATTGTTCCTTCAACAGCAAATGCACATGGTTGTGTTTTGCTAACACACACACACATGGTTGGGTTTCGGAAAAGAGAACAGGGTTTGGCTTCACTATCTCGCGGGATGCAAAAACACTGTCCTCCAGGGTGAAAGTCAGTGGTTGTTGGACCCAGCCAGACGCCTTACTTGGACTACCACCACCTTAACTGTCATTCTTGTCCTGCAGCATTTCCCCTGACGCCACAAGACAGCGCCATTAAACTATAACCACGACCATGCACGTATCATGCCAACGTGAAAGGAAAGCTTTTTTCGTCTGTGTCTTACACGGGCAGACACTCCCCAAGTGCCGGATTTCGCCGACTTCGGAGTGAGACCTGGTTGAGTCAACTTGCAATTACAGTTTACATCCATGTCTGTTTAGATTCATATGTAGCCATGACAGTTAACCATGCTTCAAATATGGACGTTGCTACAAAGAAGCTACTAATTCCTGGTGTAATACCTGGTGTAGCTACACATTTCGACAAATAAAGGCCTGTCTCAATTAGACACCTGGCCTGGCTGCCAAGCAGTTCATTATAATAGAAGTTCACATCTTTGCTGAGCAGCAATTTTGTGTAAAAGGAATTAAAAGCCTGTCTCAATAATATAAGCTCGTTGAGTTCAGTGATTTGAGCAAATAAAAGCCTGGGCTACTAATTGAAATTTTATGGTAATACTCGATTTATTGTGCAGCCCACACTTGAGTTGGTATCCAGTTCATGAGAAAAGCTCTGTAGTAGCTACTTCCTTCCACACAGGAAGTGATGCATTTAAATTCTGCTTGCTTGAAAAAGAATACATGGAGAAGAATTCATGCTTTGCTAAGCACAATGTCAGCATCAGCAGGGAATTTATCTCAAAGATGCAAAGTGCTTCACACATAAGAACAGATCAACTTCGATGTCTTAGCTTTGTCTCTTTCTGCAACTAAAAGGTTGTATTCTTAAGAGAGCATTGTTTAGTGTTCACTGTGTGTGCAGCAGGAGAAAGCAACTTTTAGGTATGTGGGGATACTAAATCGTGATGTATGATTATTGCTTTTACCCTTAAAGCACTTCAGTGGCTTCTATTAGCAACAACAACATGTGTTTGCAAGAGTCACACAATGTTTACACTGGATGTATCTGCAACATGTTCCCTTACAATACTCTTAATTTCCTTTCCTCCAATATCGCCCTGTGTCAACTAAAGCACAATTAGCATTTTTATGGTTCCGCTTCGACAACTCAAAACACTTACTGATGCTGAACATCAATAACTCAGAATATAAATGGATGATTTAACAATTCCCTTGTAAGAGCAACCAACAAATTGCAATTTGTGTTTCTCCACTTTGAGTTCCTTTACACAAACAAACCTCTCCAAGGTCGTGTCAGTTTCTTTAGGATTAGTCGGTCTGTTTTTCTTTGAGGAACTGATCCTTTTCTCACCAGATGAGGCCTGGAGGTTCTATATAATCCACTCCGCTTTATGCAATCAGAGACCTTGCAACACTAAAAGCTAATTATCAGCTTGTTTCATGTGCTTTAGTTAAGTAATGAGTTGCGAGGCTGGTGTCTTTCAGAGGCCGCTCTGCAGAAGAACATCGCTGCCATATCAGGTAGAACGGAGTCGATAAGGTTGACTTTCAGACAGTAATAATAAAAAAGGCTTTCAAATTAATTAATCTCAACATTATGAAAGAGGTTGTTATTTGATGCCGCAACAACAAGCCGATCACGTAATCCTCATTGTTTTGAAATTCAAACTAATTTCATGGATAAATGCTTGAAACACATCTCCTTCACATCAATTAAACCACTTTTCAGTTTCATTTTTCAAAGTCGACTTTGGAGTTATTTGTCCCCTTTTGTGATTGATTATAATATGAAGCTGTTTTTTATATCTTACAGACGTGCTTTAAAGGTCCAGTGTGTAGGATTTGGGGGGCTATATGGGCAGAATCGGCATATAATATACCAAGTGAGTTTTCTCGTGTTTATACTCATATACAAATACGACATCATGTTTTCGTCACCTTACAATGACTTAGGGCTGAGCAATGTGGCTTGAAAAAAATATTGCGATATTTTTAGTCTATATCACGAAACACAACATATATTTGGGTATAACTGAAATCCCCTCTAAAATACAATCAGAATCAGAATCAGAATCAGAAATACTTTATTGATCCCCGAGGGGAAATTATTTATGTTACAGATACATCTACAAATACAACATTATCAAATTAATTACAGTTCTAATAAAGTTTTATAAAGTAGCTACTGTTAATAAAGTTAAATAGAGTATTGTTATACTGTATATAAATCAGACACATTAACGGATCTACTCTTCATATATTGATAATATTTGCAAGTTGCACTGGTGCTCCATGGTCACAAGTGCAACCAAATAGTCGCAGTCTGGAGCCCTGCCGGTACAAAAACATGCTTCGTCTGCTTATCATTAAACTCATTAAGTTAAACTGCTACAGCTGTGCCGTTAATTGTGCCGATTTATTCACTGTCAGCTGCAAACAAACTAACAGCTCTCTACTCGAATTTATTAAAAATATTTGCAAGTGGCACTGGTGCTCCATGGTCACAAAATGCAACTAAATAGTAGTGTTCTGGTGCCCTGCAGATAAGACACATACTATACACCTGCTCACACTATCGCTCAGGAAAAAGTGATTTGGATGGTTGAGGAGTGTGTGTGTGATGTATCTTGTTTGTGAGTCTTTCTTTTTGTGTCTATATCTGTGAGAGAGCCGCAGGAGAGCGCGAGAGAACCGACATGCCAAAGAGAGTTTTTATAGACAATTTATACTCAATGTTCGCATCATAGTCACTTATACATCCTATGTGATACTTTGAGTATAATTGATATAATGCTCACCAGAGAATGACTTATCCTACATAGAGAGCAGGTCCTCATCCAAAGAGATCACCATGTTCCTACAGTACCATTGAATGGACGAATCAAACACTGGCTCTAGACAGGGCCATATGCCTTTTTCCAGTTTTTTTTTATCAGCCACCGTAATTAGTAGACAAAAATCAACTCAGTGTATATTCTGGAATCAAACAACAATATGAAAGTTGAAATCAAACTCACTATATTGATCATGGCTGCCAGAAAGTTGATGAGGATTGAGACGAAGATGATGACGTTTCGCGCTGCGTACGTCTCGTTGATCCAGCAGCAGGCTTTGCGCAGGACCAGAGGCAGACATTTGTAGTCCTCCGCTGTCGTAACTAGGACCAGACAGGAATGGAGGACGATGAGGACTGAGAACTGGATCACCATGGTTACCATCCTGCAGAAACACAATGAATGGCAAAATAACAATAATACCATCAGCTGTGGGCCTTATGATACAACATGTGGGGAGTGGACCATCGTAACACACTGAAGCATCATATTAAACATGCTGACAGAAATTAGTATGATTGAAAACCTTTAAATGTTTGAATACATTTTTATTTTAAATTGCATAACTAGATCAATATCCTCTATTAAAAGAACTTTATTTCTAAATATGAACTACATAACAAATACATTTTTTATTAAACTCAGCTAGATGATGTATTTTCTCACAGTTTCTTTCATCAGTCTTTCTGAATTATTGAAAAACGTTCCCACTTTAAGATAAATGCTTACCTATTCCGATAACTTTCGTACACCTCACTTTCGCCATTCTACAAAAAGTCTAAATAACTTTTCATTCAAAAAACTGTGTCTGTATGAGTTGAAAATTTGTGCTTTTCCAAGAGGACAAGCTGTCAAACAAACACAGCACACACACAGATGTTGCTTGCTAGCTACAGCTACTGTCTGTGCCATGGATGTATAAAAAGAAATGGCTACAGTGTTGGAAGCTGAATTCCTATAAAGAATTCCTTTGCTCAGTGGTGCAGTGGAGCCAAAAAATTTTCACGGTATGAAATCACCTGGATCTTCTCCATTGTTCTTTAGAGCAAGCAGACTACAGATTTACAGCTGCTAACTTCTGGTTTACCCTCATCTAACCTGAATGGAGATGAATTGATTTAATTGCTGCTCTTCAAGACTTTAAATTGTGATTGGACTACAACAACTACACTACTGACGTCTCTTATCCAACGAAAGTCTAAAGGAAATAGCTGTAAGTTGCAAGTTAGAAGTTGCAATTCCATTTTTGGTCACTGTGTAGAATTTGCGTTACAGCTCTGCAGTGTTCTCTGGGGCTTGGTATGAACTCTTGGCAAGTAATTTTTTCCTTGTATAGCAAAGGCATGACCTGCCCTACTCTACTTCTGATTGACTGGTTGCCTACATTGATTGGGTTGGTTAGGTTGGGGAAGCAGGAATGAGATTGGTTAAGAATTGGTTAAGAATATATCAAAACTTCGAGAATATATGACTCAAACTGACTCTCAGAAACTGGTTCATGCCTTCATCTCAAGCAGATTAGACTATTGTAACGCTCTAGTCGCAGGATTATCCAAACAATCAGTAGGACGCCTCCAGGTCATTCAAAACGCAGCAGCCAGAATCCTCACACGTACACGTAAATTTGATCATATTACTCCAATACTGTCAGGGTAAACCAATCAGAGGCAGAGTAAGGCAGGACATGTTGTCATCTTCTGAGAAAAAAACAAATTTGCATCTTGTTGGTTCATTAGCGATTTGGGGTTCCTGACAGGGAGAATTCATGTAAACACCCACTCAAGTTAGAACAACAACTACCATAGTGAAAATGTTGATACTCATGTTGCAGAGTTGACATCGTATATTCAGAGACATGGAAGCTGAGAGTAAATGTTAGGTCATCTCAAGTGCTATGTTGTAGACAACTGGACTTGCTTGAGCTTCTTGAAGACGTTTCACCTCTCATCAGAGAGCCTCTTGGTGAAACATCTTTAAGAAGCTCAAGCAAGTCCAGTTGTCTTCAATATAGCACTTAAAATGAGCATGACCGGGATGACTGAGAATCTTCACCAACAGAAATGTGGTATTAGGTTGTGATTACGATTAATTAGAGAAGTTAATTATTGGTGCTAGTGAGGTATAGAGATATTTTAGTAGTTCTAGGGGATGTACTGGTGAAACAACAAGTCTGGGACCAAATGGCTTTGTAGTATGAAACTTCAAACTGTTATCAACGTACTGTTTAAATGATCTGAGAACTAAAATACAACACATCTGCTCTGTAGCATCCTTGTTGTTTCTACATCACGATTTAAAGCTCATGAATGCACCAAAGTTGGAAAATCGACTTTGCGACTTGGGAAAAGGGACCATCTGAGAAGCATGTGAATGCAGCATAAAAGACAAAAACAACAATGAGTATTGTTTGATCAGAAGTGTTAAATTTGCGCTGTCCTTTTATTGTGTTTTGGAAAAACTGTTGAAAGTAACTTTATCAGAGACAGTACACTGAGAAGTGAAAGCTAGTCGAAAAGAAGCTGACCTGGAGGTTCTTAGTTAAGTGTGAAATAAGCTTCAGTTATCAGTCAGAGCTGACCACCACATTGTAACACTCTGTCCTCTTTTACCTGGCGGAGGGAAGCAGGCTTTGGATGGTGGTGATGAAGATGAGCACGATGAAGGCGCACACCAGGTTGGACTTGAACACCTCGTCCCTCATCTGGGAGTACTGCGCCGTGTAAAGGAGAAGAGGAAGAGAAAGGAGGAGGGAGAGGAGGAGAGGGGAAGATGGAGAAACAAATTTTCAGACAAACGGAAAACTCAACACGCTGAAATGCACCTCAAACACACAAACGCACCGCCACAGATGCATTCAATGGTTCAACCACAAGCGTTAGAGAGAGACAGGAGCCGGTGGGTTAGCTGAGGGGTCCTGGGGAAGGTGCAAAGCTGACAATCACAATGCTAGCTGTTAGCTGTTAGCAGTTAGCTGAGTCAGAGACAACAAACGGAGAGCGCTGTGTCAAAATAGGCTAACCGTGAAGCTAAGCAGAGGTGGAAGAGAGTTTTTGAAAGCTTAACTGAAATGTGAATTCTCTGGACAATTATTTTATTTTTTCTGACAAGGCTTTAAAGCGCTAGCAACTCAACAACAGGAAAATATTAGAAAAGTAACAACAGCAAATATGTGCGTTTATGTTACTACCCTGCTAGCACTGAATGTCAAAGTGATGTCGGAAAGATGGACTCCAATGTCAGACAGGCGTTAACTTTTGGTTGCAATGAAAATCTGGTTGACGGTATTTGAAATGTCAAACTACATTAGAATTTCATGTTGTGTGGACGTTAACATTATGGCTGTTTGTTGGGTTTTGTTCTCCATACCTTACGACTAAATGTCAGTATTCTAGTCAAGATGACGCTGACATGAGACGTTGGAGACATTAAAGACATTGGACTTTGGTTACTCAACAACGCAACTTAAAACCAACAAAATATCGACGTCATCTGTCGTCAGTGTTCTACATCAGCTGACATGGCATTAGACGTTGTCCTGACATTGAATTTTGGTCACCCAGAGGCACAACCTAAATTTAATATCGAAGTCCAACAACATTGATGGCCAGTGTGGAAATATAAAAAAAGCAACGACAGCAAACAAGTACATTTATGTTACTCTATAATGCAGTGTGGAGGTTTTGATAGTTTTGAAAGACTTCCTACTTTAATACACTGAATTCAAAAGTTTGTTTTTGTCTCAACCCTTTTCTCTACCTATCTGTTGCATTTTGAGGACAAGCGTTGGATAAGAAGATGTAAGCTACATGTACAAAGAAGCACAGTAAATTCTACTTTAATTCTAGTTGACAGTTTTCTCTTTCATCATAAACGTAGTTGAAGTGTTATTAGTTATCTTGGAAAAAAATAGTTCATGCACATTATCATTTCCTGAAGAAAGCCCAGCGCTGATGTAAGACTCTAGACTGATGAGTCACCAGTCAGGACCGGCAGCCTGACTCATCTCAATGTTAAACTTTCCACCCCGATGACCCCCGCTGCCCCGTCCTCGCTCTGTCTCTTTCTCAAAGGGTGCTGGGAAATTAGCAAGAGGATGCTTCACGTTTTGGCACAACTTTGGCAGAAATAATAAAAAAAAAATGAGGGAGGCCAACAGCAAATCACTGCACATTTACTGAAGAGGTTAAGAGGTCAACCAAAAATATAAGGTTCTTGGAAAAGTTTTGAAGATGGCGGTGGGATTCAGAGGAGGAACATAGATGTGGAGGAGAAGAAGGGCCCAAATGAATCAACTCAAATGTTAAAGGTGAGCTTATTCATGGAACAAAATAAATGGGGGGGGGGGGGAGAGGACAAAAAGCTACAGGAGTTCATTGCATTCACCGAAGAAAAAGAACATTCAGACAGATTTTCTTGTAACTATGACTTCCATATATCTTTGATAACATCTCATGATTGTAAGAGAATTGAGTGTAAATTATTAACGTTAGGTGATCAGTAAAACTACTGCTAGAGGCTGTTCCATCAAATGTGGTTGTTATTGAATGAACTTGTCCAAGGTTACTTGTGTCAGCTGTAAATACACTAATTAACAAACATTTTAGTCACATTTATCCAAAATTTAGCCTGATATATTTGGTATCTTTGAAAACTCCCAATAAAATTTACAATACAGTTCTTTGAGTTTGTTTGGCTGCACTGGAACAGCTGAATGTTAAGGGATTAAATGAGGTGGGTGTCATCACAGTCCTGTTTTATCAAGTTATTCAGATCTTTTGTTGTAATTTTACAGTACATATTATATTTAAAAAATGAGGGTATGATTTGCCCCAGTGTTTCACTGTTCTGTTCTGACCGACCCCTGAGTGTCCTTATCTTGTTTCGTTTGCTGATTAAAAAAGCTCAGCTGCAACGATGCAACTTCCATCAGTAATGTACGTTAGAGTTTGATAATGCAGTACTTTTATTGTAGTCTGGCAATTTAGTCAGGTAGTAACGTTTCAAACTCAAGGTCTCAAAATTATGAGATGTAAAGTCAGAAATATGGGATACGCATGTCGTAAATTTGAGAAAACATCTCAGAAATGTTTTTTTTCCTTCAGTGAATGCAATTTGTTCCTGTAAAAAAAGACAAAAAGAAGTTGAACAAGGCAACTTTTTCCACAAGACTGTAAAAGGGTAACAGGTCCATGGCATGGACTTTTGGTCATGAGTAAACTGAAGGGGGTTCTGCAATCCTGGCAAATCAAATCAGAGTAGTAAAACATCAGTGTTTCGCCCAGCTGACTATTCTGTGCTCGTCGAAGAAAAATCAGTTGTGTTTTTAAATTTTTTTTTAAATTTTTTAAATTTCAGAATCAAACGTGGTTTTCAAAACATTGGCAGCAATTAAAAAAAAAAAAGTTAATGAGTTTGTATCTGCTGTTAGAGATTAGGTGCACTGTGGTAGTTCATGCTCACTGGTATGGAGTCTAAAGTGTGCCGACTGAATAATTATCCTTTCATTATAACTAATATCAATTAATACATTTTTCAAAAACGATCAGTAAGTCAATAATGACATATCATTCCTGACCTTGAGAACGGTAGTTTGACTTGACTCAAGGTCCATTTCCAGAAGTTTCAAATGTATCTGCAAACACAGACCTACATAGACTAGACCTGTCTAAAACAAGACCTGCTAATAAACAGTTAATTAATTTAAATACTGCATTAATAAATAACAATTTGTATTTGCAGATTAATCATTCAGTCTATTTACTTTGTCTTTGATTGGTGAGATCTTTATTTCAATTAAAGAATCAAATTGAAAAATTAGTTATAAAAAGATTTGAAATCAATTAAAATGAATACAAAATGGAAGCACAAAAATTAATTGTAAGACTGATTATGATAGACCTATAGTAAATAGAATTTAAAAAATGTAAAAGCCTTTAATTTCACTTCATTTATTTTATGTGTAAGGACATTCAACAGCATTTCTGTAAATGTGCCAGTGTTAGCCAGCGAGCTAATTTTCATCTGCAGTCCTATGGCAAGATGTTTTAAAGCCAATAAAAGGATTAAATTCAAAGAGAAAATTAAAATTTTATTATAATTTATCATTTAAAGGTAAAAAAAAAAACTGAAATAGAACTCTTAATTGACAGATTTACTTTAAATGTACGACTCATCTAAATGCAATAGTTCTTTTGTAATAGTTTATGTAACAGCTCTTCAAAACGTATCAATTTATTAACTGACTATAATCAAAAACTGTGAGTCCATAAATATTCTGGTGGCACACTTCAGATTCCACACACCTGAAGACCAAATGGAGCAAAGTAATGACCCTGGATCACTATATGTGTTTTGTATTGAATTATTTCCTTCTTTCAGTTCCACCGTATGTGTTTCTCTTTTGTTAAAGTGACTCGTGTTAATAAAATAAAATAAAATAAATGAAAAAAAAAAAAAAATGTTTTTTCCCCTTTGCAGTACCACAGTAATATCTAATGTGCCTTTAGCTTACTCATGAAAAGAGAGAAAAATTGTTGGTTCTTGTTTTGCTTCTGAAAATCTTCATCTAAGAATAGATATGAGGAGGGAGAGAGAAAGAAAAAAAAACAGTTATCTGTCTAAAACCCCAGCTACCTTCTCTTCCAGGCTGGAGTCTTTAAACATCAGTGAGAAAGGCTTGATATGCTCTCTTCTCAACTTATCGCCACTCCGTAAGTCGATGGCGCTCTCTATTCGCTTGTTAATTTCCTCAGGACCAGAGTGGACATGCAAAGCTTGTGCGAGATGGTTTGGAAGCAGATTTATCGAATTTCTCGTTAGGGCAGCCAGAGTCTAGGGGGAAAGCACATGCACATAGAATGAACCTGCTTGTCCCCCTTTTGTTTCATTCAAGTTACAAATGAAAAAGAACAGACACAGTTACGTTCATTACATACACAAAAGAAAAAACAAGAGAAAAGTTAAGGAAAAGGAAGAAAAGGGAAGACCAAAATGCAACGTTCGCTATCAGACAGACAAGAGCAAGCCATGCATCTCTCATTCACTCGGAGCATGTTCACTTTGCATCCATGTTAGTGGTGACGAAGCTTGCAATTATGCACGTTAAAACAAAGCTGTAATTCATGTCCACGGCTGTGACTGGAAGGAGGAATGACTGGGAATGAAAACACACAAAACGGATGAAAATTTAAAAATATAAAGCATGAAATGGAGGGAAAAACACAACTGAGACTTTCAAAATATCAGGAACAAATACACCAATTATCTTTCCCAAGTAAAGGATGAGAAAACAATCACATTTAAATACACTGGATCCTCAAAAAGAAAATGAATTCAACCTTCAGTATGTTTGAGCAGTTTTTTGAGACAAACTTAAAATGCATTATGTCCTCAAGGACAACCTTGCAAGACATTAAAATGCCATATTGTAATAAAAGTAATTGAATGACACAAGGTTCTTCGGTTTACAAGGGTCTCCTCGGGTTTTAATTTACCACTTCATCACTCCCCGTCTCGCTTGGCCTTCCTTCTCTCTTTATGACTAAAATACACTGAAGGTTGTGACTTTCCGTAACTCTTTCTTTTTTTAAACTTTAAAGGACCACACTGATGGTTTCCCATGTGTAGTCCTTGTCATTCTGTTATAATTCCGGTAGGGGAATAAAGACTCATTTATTCATTCATGATAAGTGTATAAATACTGTAATTGGCCTTTTAAATACCCAACATGTGTTAGATTTTTAATGGTAGAACCCCAACAAGGTTTTGTAACCACCCAAATTCCCCCCACAAAAAGCTTATGACCTCAGTGTCCTCACTGGGACTCAACCTGGCTGCCGACAGAGAATCCATTGGGAACAATTTGTCACTTTGATTTCCTTCCTTTAGTTACGTAATATAAAGCTCAGCGCAATAGAGGGTGCTCCATCATCTTGGGAACTGGCCACTGAAGAGCAACCTTTATAAGAACAAATTTCCATTGTGGTTTCACCAAGGGCATCTTTGGTACTCCTAAGTTTACTTACTTACTTACTACAAAAGAAGGCAGCTGACTCAAATTTTGGATGTCAGAGTGTCTTTCAGCACAACAGGAAAGAAAGCTTTCAGAAAGGTCACTACATGCAGCTTCTTTACCATGTAATGTAGAGTGGGGGGGGGGGATCAATACAGCATAGTACTGCCATATTTTGCGTGGCGATATTGTATCGATACACGCATACCAACTATCAATCTCTTATTATATACATCATTCATTTTGGCAAATGCACATTTTACTACAACTTTTGGTACTTGGGGTCATTGGTGGCTTAGTGGATAGAGCAGGCGTCCCATGTACAAGGCTGTTGCTGCAGCTGCCCGGGTTTGATTCCAGCCTGTAGCCCTTTGCTGCATGTCATCCCCTCTCTCTCTCTCCCCTTCATACTTAGCTTTCCTATCAATTAAAGGCAAAATTGGCCCAAAAAGTATTTGGTACTAGAAGAATAAAATTAGTTGCTTTTCGGCCCACTAGATGGTGCTGATGTTTATTTTCCTGGTGAGGTCAGCACAGGTCTCAGTCAGCAGAATTTGGCAGGAAGTTCAACTGAGCAACGACGGAAACACCGGAGAAATAAATCAGAAATTTGCTGTCAGCAGTGTCACATGAGAATAAAATACTCTGGGAATACTACCAACATGAGGGCTCACCTCACACTCCACTATCCAGAGGCAGTGTTAGCCACTGATGCTCCACCAAAAATTCAACTGACACTGGATACTATTAGCTCGACAAAACTACCATCCAATTCTGAGAGAGCCAAGAAAATAACACAGTCCATCACCTACTTCCTGTGCAAAGATCTGCGTCCACATACCCTGGAAATCCAGAGTTCTCGCAAGAGCACAATTTGGATTTGCTCAGCGAGTCACTCTGGCAATCAGTAAGGATGCTCATTACCTATGCCCATGAAACCGAGCTGCACCAGTCGCATCGGTGTATCTGATATAGGCGGGCCAGAGGCGAGTTAAACAGATGACGTCAGCTGCGACGAGGAAGTCTGGAATCAGTCAGTAAACATTGCAAGATGGCTACGGATGAACACCAGCTGTTTGAAACGGCTTTGGCTGCTACAATGAACGAGTTAGACTTGGCTTTTTCTCTAAAAGAGGAACAGAAGACGGCGCTCGAATCTTTTCTTTGCAAGAAGGATGTTTTTGCTGTTTTGCCTACTGGATACGGCAAGAGTCTAATCTACCAGTTAGCTCCGCTGGTAGCTAAGCTCTGGATACGTCACCCCGTGTATTGTTCTGATTGGTTGTAGTGTTATCCAATTGCGTGCAGTGATATTTACAAATGCATGCTTGGTGCCGCCCCTCNCTGTCCCAGTTCCTGTCCCATTTCCTTACCATGCCTTCTGCAGAACAATGTGGTGAGTTAGGATCGCTAATCTGGTTCTGGTCATTTTGTGTCTCTTGTGTTAAGACAACATTATTTAGTGAGGAAAGTTCAATTTGCTATGATTTTAAACGAAACTTTGAGCATGTTAATGTCAATTGTTGATGCTGTGAATGTGTCCAAACTGTGTCACTTCTCTTTGTAAAGGCTCTTTGCGACAACTTGTGCTGAAATCAGCACCAAAGTAGAGCAACAGATTTTAGCCTTCAACCCTGAGTACATGGTAAGAACCGTTCTTCTGTTAAATGTGAAATTTAGTCAACACAAAAGAACAGAAATCACATGTACAGTAATGTCATTATGGCAGGAATTAAAACATTTTAGTGTAATGAAATGTTTTGTGTTCCAGCTTGTGTCAGCCACGCCTCTGTCCATCAAAGCCAACCACACTTCCCTGGACAACCCAGAAGGAGAGAACATCACCTTCACGTTCAGCCCCACCATACTGACTGGTGGCTGCTGTATGACTGTGAGTATCCATTATATGACTTCCATTATATGTTTATATAAAGTTATACAGGAGTAGGTTTTGTAAAATTGTAATTACAGCTTTACAACAAGATGTGAAACAATTTAAAAAAGTTATTCCTTTGGTAGGTGTGTATTCTCTGCCAACAAAACAGCTGGTTTACCTTCTTTCTCTGGCCGATATATGTCACAGTCAGGCCTGGAATTTTGTCATTTTAGGGGCAAGGCCACGAGGCCTTTTGATTTTTATTTTGATTTCACTTAAGTTGATGAATCCATCTCTAAATGCAATGAGTTTTTAATAAACACAGTAACACTTCTAGAGAAATAAAAACACAATTTTTATCAAGAGAAAACTTGATTTCAGAATGTTAATGATTAAGACTTGTTTAAACCAAGTTTTAATGTCTTCTGGATACAGTTTGATGAGGTATATGATACAAGTATATATGGGGACTTGTGTCATGCGTAAGAAAGACATAAACACTGCGTGTAGTTTACATATTTTGTCATGTATTAGATTTATGCATGGTATTGTTCCCTGAGGAGAAGTAGTCACAAACACTTGACAAAATTCTGAAATAAACATCACTTTATTTTGAGCTGATGATGGAGGCAGCTAACAAGTAAGTCATCTCATTTCCTTCTCATCTCTTTTTCAATCAGTTCATCAAATACTTCAAAACAAGAGAGCTCTTGCACACCTGCATTTTTCTTCAGGTTTGGCACAAATTTCCTCTCAGGCTCCAGGATGAACTGATTAGATTTTGCAGGTTAGAGGTCACAGTAACCTTACAAACCACACTTTTGGCCATTACTCAAGAATTCATTTGCTAATTGTGACAAAATTCAAACAAATGTCTAATAGAATAAAATAATGTGATGATGTGAAGACATTCTATATCCAAAAGGTTAAAGGTCAGCTTCACTATGACATCGTAATGTTTTTATGCAACGTCATCACACAGGAACACAAGGCTCAGATACTGAATTGGTGACAGTAATCTTTGGGGTCCACCTAGAAGCTATGCTGATTGTACAGATCTTCTGTGTGGGGGAAGATGTATGTGAAGCAACCATGTTTTGGAATTTGTAGCTCCTTTGCAGCAGCACCCATATCTGAAGTGAAGAAGGGATGTTTCTCCCTGGAATCATACATGTCAGTACAGTGATAACTTCCATTTTGTCAAAAAAAGTCCACTCAATACTTCATATTGAATTCCTTCAAAGCCTTCATAACATATACTTTATGAGTCTGGACTGAATGCTGCAGCATCTTGACTACAACTGTGTACAACTGTAATTCTAGTTTCAAGGGGAACTAATGTGTTTTTCAACCTGGGCCCTATTTTCCGATCTACTTTTGTCTAAATGAGTGACAGGATGTTCATTATGTGACATTTCTCCAGTATGAAGCTAGGGCTGACCTGCCTGCAGCCCGTGAGCGCACGCTATATTAAATAATAGGGCACTCAGACAGCGTCAAACAACGTCAAAATACGTCCACTAAAAGTGCATTTTTTTCACACAGATAGGCTCGGATTGTTAGTATAATTATCTGACAACATAACAGAAAGGAAAAATGAACGTCTGTGTTTACCTTTAGCTGGATTCAGACATGTTCCTCTGCCTGTTGCTGCTCCCTCTCTCTCCTCGTCCGCTCTTCAGTTTCAATGAGCTCTGCGTCCGTGTATGTCCGTGTTCAAATAAATACGGGCGCTCATCAAATTCAAATGGCTCATCCAGATCCAGTTGGTCAAAATCGGTTAAAAATTCAGCCATGGCTACTCCGAACAGAGTAACTCCTCGTGTTTGTAAGGTCAGTCCAGCGGTAACTTCCTGCAACGACTCAAATCTTGTGAGACGTGAGATTTCAGAGCCAGACTTTCACTCTCTGAGTGAGTGTTTTGACTTGCCACGACAAACATGTCCGAATTTTTAACCGATTTTGACCAACTGGATCTGGATGGACCGTTTGAATTTGAGGACCACCCATATTTATTTGAACACGGAGTACACAGATGCAGAGCTCATTGAAACTGAAGAGCGGATGAAGAGAGAGAGGGAGCAGCAACAGGCAGAGGAACATGTCTGAATCCAGCTAAAGGTAAACACAGACGTTCATTTCTCCTTTCCGTTATGTTGTCGGATAATTATACTAACAATCCGAGCCTATCTGTGTGAAAAAAATGCACTTTTAGTGGACGTATTTTGACGTTGTTTGACGCTGTCTGAGTGCCCCATTATTTAATATAGCGTGCGCTCACGGGCTGCAGGCAGGTCAGCCCTAGCTTCGTACTGGAGAAATGTCACATATTGAACATCCTGTCACTCATTTAGACAAAAGTAGATCGGAAAATAGGGCCCAGGTTGAAAAAAACATTAGTTCCCCTTTAATGAATTGGGTTGTAAATGTCTTGCCAGTGGAAACATACTGCCCAGTGACTAAATACTTTGGACTTTCCCAATCATCTTGTGTCTGCCTGGATATTGAGTAACAGCTGAATGCAAATTGTCCTTTTTTTCCAACACACAGTGGAGATAGGAGAGAAAGAGCTGAACTGAAGTTGAACTTGAACTCAACGAAATCTCTGTTGCATATAAATGAAAATGTGTGGCCTGTGTGTCAAAACATTAACATATCTGGAACAGCCACAGGAAACACACAAGCTTCATTTAAATGAAGACAATCGGACGGCATTTTGTGGAATCAGATGAGCTCCATTGTGCTCCAGGGCCATGTCGACCCTATTATCAGTTCCTTTTAGGGTGATCTCTGCTCACTTCTGTGGAGAGTACAGTGTCATTGTATGTGAGAGGAGCATGCTACATGGAGCGGTTTGATTGGAGATCTGGGCTCTTCAAATTCAGGTCAGGTTTGGCCACATATTAATGTCAACACTGTGGGTTTGGGTCAGGATCAAGCCTAAAATATAATTGTTGCTGCTCACGTTCCACTCATTATAATGTATTCCTACAATCTATCAATCAAGTGGTAGTCTTACAGAGCCAGACCTATCTGCACAGCACTGTGTCAGTTCTTGAGACCATTCTGCTACAGGGAGATAAAAAACCCTGGCTTGTTTTTGTTTCTCTGAACCAATCACAGTCATCATGGGCGGAGCTAAGCCCAGGATGCAGTGGGGGTGCCCTTGTAAAATAGTGTGGGGAACACACACACACACAATGATAGGGCTAACTGTTAGCATCACATGTCTAACGATACCTCAGGGTTAACGGTATCGGTGGGAGTTTGTTGGGACCGTCGGCTCATGCTAACTGGCAAGACTCCTCTCCAGCAGGAGAATGGCTTACAGCAGCAACAGAAGGTTTGCTGTTCTGGCGGGGAGTTGGGACCGCCTGAGATCACACCCCCGGCTCCTAAAAAATCGTATTAAGGTATCAATTGACTTGAAATATTTTGATAGATGTTGCAAATCAACTCTGACTGACCATGTTAGAAAACAGATCGACATTGGGCATGGAGTTCTGTGAGATGGAGTCTGAAAGGTGCGTTCACAAGTCGTTTTATTTGTTGTGGATTTTAACAACAATTCACTGAAGGAAAAGAGCAGGCATGCCTTGTTGCACGATCCAAATCTTCATCAAAACGTGCTGTTAGCTCAGAGGTTTCCCGTACAAAGGGGATTTTGAAAATAGGCCTGTCGCGATATGCGATAGGTTGGTTAATTGCACGGTAAATTAAAAGAGAGACGGTAACTTTTCCGGCCCCGATTAATTGCCATATTCATGCGTGTTTTTTTTCCTCGTCTCTCTCCACCAAAAAGACTGGACAACAAGAGCGTTCACTGCCATGCATCGTCTGGCAACCAGGTGAGTTGGTTCATTAGCGTAATGAACGGAGGGAAAGCTCTTGTCATCGAGTGTCTTTGTCTCTGTGGGGGAGGCGGGGCTATGAGCTACACACACACACACAGTGCGATCTTCGTGAGGGGGAGGTGAGGTGGAGAAAAAAACAGTTGAGCGTAAGAGAAAGACATGGAACTTGTTCCTAAACCAAACACCACAGCCCCTGTGTGGGAGTGTGCTGGGTTTGTTAACTTAACTGCACACCTGAGAGTGAGAGACTGACAGTCTATTTTTTTGGATTTATTTATTTATTTCAATATTTTTATGTGTTATTTCGGATATTTCAATTTTCTTTTTTTGCATTTGTAAATATTCTTGTTAAATACATGTTTATTTCTCTTTAAAAGGGTTTACTTGCATCAATATGCCTTTATTATCATTATATAAGTTTAAAAAATGTTTAAAATTACAACAATAATAAAAATGGTCTTAAAAGCACAATATTACGCAATATTATCGCTTATCGCAATAATTTTTGACGCAATTAATCACCCAGCAGAATTTGTTATCGTGACAGGCCTATTTGAAAACGCTAACACACAGATAGTGGAGGGGAGGGAGAATGCCAGACAATAGCAGATAGCCACAGTCTGCAGCCGGAGAGTCAGACTTGTAACATTGGGAAGACTTGTTTGTTTGCAGACTTGCTTACTGTCATCATTTTTCAAACAAGTCCTTCAACTCATTCGACCGGTACGTCTTCACTATGTTTCTTTTCCTAAACCTAACCTCCGTAACTTTGCTTTAATTATAAAACTTTACCCTGAGGGTGTTATATCATCAGTGGGGTGCTAATTAATAGGAGTTTATATGAACTATTGCATGAGGATACGTTGATTGGTTATTTAGTAGACTTTGAGGAATGTAGAGAAAGAGAGGAAGAAAAAAAGAGTTTTGATGTTTAAATATTTGTTTTGGGCTACAGCCTGGAGAAGCTAGCTTAGCTTAGCATAAAGACTGAAAGCAGGAGGAAATGGTTAGCCTGGCTCTGTCCAAAAAAAAAGGAAACAGATCTGCCTTCCAGCTCACTATCTTGTCTGTATCATACATACAAAAACTAAACTGATAAACAATACATCATTACGTGCCGGAAGATTTCGTGATCTAGTGTCATCACCATGAGGTT